TTCACCTGTACAGCTGGCCCTGGGGAGGGGGAGAGCGGCAGAAAAGTAAATTACCCCACTGGAGCTCATTCTGTATCTGCTGTGTGCTTAAAATGGAGCTTTATCTGACTGGTTCTTTTCATAAGCAATGAGTTTGTGGACATAGCACTTTTTGTCATATTTCCCCTGCTTTGGAGTACATGACATGCACTGTCTCTATGGCTGAATAAAAGGTCATGACTGACCAGCTGGTAACACAGAATGCATTTTTATACTAATGGCAGGGTATTCTAGCTTTTGTTTCACATTACAATGACTGCATATTTACATAAACCCTACATCTGTTTAGTTAAATTAAGCCAGAGGGTGATGATCTTTGTCTTTACAAAAGAGCTGATTTAATTTTATTGAACATAGCTTTTCCATTTAAAAGATCAAAGCCAGTGCAGCCCCCTGCAGCAACAATTCAGTCTTATGTGTTTCTTCAAATATTCAAATTAAGAAAATAGGGGAACTGGGACTGAAAAAGCTAATGAATTTTAACAGACAACTAGCAATTATTCATTCCTTAAAAAAAAAAAAAAGAGAGAAAAGAAAAAAGGAAAATAAAAACAAAAATAAAAACTCTTTGGGGCCTTTGTTTATCCTGAGCTTGAAGAGAGGTATTTTTCCTTCCATCAAAGTCTCATGGAGTGTCCTGACTCTCCTGTCTCTAAAACTGTCAGGAATTGATAATGGAGGCAGAATGCACATTTTTAGGCAAATTTCTAGAAGCTAGTCATGCTGTAGGGAGATTACACAAAATGTCGAACAGTGAAGAAAACCTGATGGAGAACTGGCCTCTTCAGGTGTCATGTGTTAGTTCCAGGCACTCAGCACAGTGAACTCCTACTTGATAAAACATCAGTTTGTATATAAAGTCACTTGTTATCTCTACAGAAAATAATGGTAAAAATCATGACTATGAAACTGTATCTGTAATGGAGATAGATATTCCATGTCTTCTGAAAGAGCCTGCATGTCTTCTAGCCTCTGACTTTGGGGAATTAGTCTTTGTCTTGCAAACTTTTACTTTGGGGGGCAGGGAGCAGAAATGGCTGAATAGCAGCTTTACATTTCGCTGCTGAAGTTTGGTGTTTGCTTACAAGTGGTTTCCCCCACCTCTGAGGCTGGCAGCAGCACTTACTACTCCCAACACTGGATGAGCACCATGGCTACACCCCATGCTACAGCAGGTTGGGACCAAGCACACACAAAAATCCACTCTTCCCTGCTCCCATCTATGGTTACCCCCTGCGGGAAACCTGGCAACATGGACCAAAAGGAGCTGTAGTATGTTCCAGGTGAGCCCTCAATCTGGACGCTGAGGAAATTGGACCCAAAGTCTGTTTTGGCTCCAAGAAAACCTTTCCAAGAGATACACGTTGCTTCTACATTACATCTACATAATACATCCACATTAGCATTTTAGCTTGGATCAGGAATGCACTTTTGAAGCGTTCGTCCTGACCACCCTTCCTCGCCACACTTTGCTTCATGTTGTGCAACAGTCCCGGCGTCTGTGAACTGGACTTCATCCAGCCAAAACTAAACCAAAAGATCTGCTGTAGAAGCACACTTAGTGCGCTACAGAAACACCAGCCCATGCGACCAGATTAGAGCTGGCCTGAAATAAATCTCTGAAATACATGGAGGGCACACACTGGGTCCTCTGCACCAGGTCCTCTGTGCTACAGATCTGCCCTACTTGTTCCAGGCCACCTGTTAATATAGACACAGCCCAAAGAGGCTGCACTGCTGCTTTCTAACCCTCTCACTGCTTAAGTGGGTGAATAGTGCCATTTTAGGCACCATATGGTATCCCTGCAGGCCTCCAGCTGCCACTTTACAGACCCCTGCGGCCCCCCACCTGCCACTTTACAGATCAACAGCTCAACCAAATGTCTCATGTCATATCTGGCAGCCCCATGCAGACATCTCAGATACCTTAGGGAGACTAGCTGGCTGTGGATGTCTATGTTTAGGCAACTGAATGCCATTTTATTTAAGTAGCTATTCCCCTCTAGACCGAGAAAATGGAAACAAATAAGATTAAAATGAGAAAAAAGGTGCTTGAAATACTGTGGTGAGTTCTATAAAATAAAATAAAACAAAACAAATAAAGGAAAAAAGAAGGGAAGGGAAGGGAAGGGAAGGGAAGGGAAGGGAGAAAAGATAAAAGAGCTTGTAAAATTCTCTCATATAAAACTCTTGGAGAATTTTTAAAAATAACTAAGAAGCACAAAAAGTTAAATGTGGGCAAATGAAAGTATTGTTTTGTACTTCAAGAAACATCTGAACTTTACCAATAGTGTTTATAGTTCAGTAAGGACTGGATTCACTGACTTTAACAGAACTATTGAGAAGCTTGATACTAAGTTTCTGTGTGTGTACTTTACTGGTCTAACACCCCAGATGTTCTGAGGACTGTAGTATCAGGATCTTTGCAGGATCACATCCTAAAGCCAGGTCTGTACTGGTAAATCAGCAAATTATTAAATTGCTATATTTACTGGGGTAGTAATAAAAGAAACATGCTTTGGCATGTCCTTCGCCCTGAGGATGACTGACAGAGAGCAGCCTTTGTCTGTGCTGGCAAACGCCTGGCCTCCAAAATGTATTGGCCACAGGTAAACAGGGATGCTCCAGGGGCTGACCATGCTCAGGACTGCGTGGCAGAGGCTGGGAGCCACCAGCCAGCACTGTGTTACGGGCTAACCTCCCAGTCTTAGACAGCGACCACACTCCAAAGCTGCAGAAAACCAGTTTTATCTACAACGACATAGCCTAAAATTCTTAATTTGCTTGGAATTACTTGGAGCGGCAGCTCTTTTAAGCACTGGAACCAAAATCCTGACCTCTTGTGGCCATCAGACTGGCCAGCAAAACGTTTTATAACACATGAAGCAAGTGATGCTTTTGCTGGGCATGTGATGGCAGGTGTTCCTGTATTCCTG